CCCTGGCTCCAGGGAGAGGAGCACCTGGGAGAACCTCCGGCCTGGTGCTGGGGATGGTGACTTCGACTCTGGGCGCCCAGAGCACCCCTCTAGCTCGGGAGAAGGGTAACTGTCCGCTTTGACAAAGACAGGGTGTGGCCTCAGCTCAGAGCCCAGCAGGCCACGTGGCGGGGGAGAGGCAGGAATTTAACGCTGTGGTTTTGTTTTAGGCATTGTTATGGTTACTTCGGCGACTTATGGTTACAGTTATGACTTAAAAGATAAGTGATTCTCTTTTATATGAATTTATTGCAATTTAAAATGTGAGTTCATTTAAAGAAAAAATAAGAAGCAACAGCAGACAAGGCAAAGCCGAGGGGCCGCTCGGCACAGGGGGCTGACCCCGCTGGGGCGGGGCTGACCCGCACGGCGGCCACTCGCTGCACGTGGCTACTGAGCGCTTGAAGTGAGGCTAGTCCAGGCTGGGACATGCCATCCGTGCAAATACACGCCGGGTTTCAAATCCTCCCTAGCAGAACGTAAACCAGCTCACTACTAATTTTTATCTGATTACACACTGAAATGATATTTACATTGGGTTAAATAAAATATATTATTAAAAATATTTTTTAAACCTTTCTTTAATGTGCCTGCCTGACCATTTGAAATGACACCTGTGGCCTGTAATACCATCCAGCACTGTGCTGGATGGTTCTCAGATGGTTCGGATGGTTTGGGGCAGCCTCCTGTTGCTAGGACACCCAGCTCCTCTCTCCCACCCCAGTCCAGGATAGGGTCAGTCAGAGTTGCTTCAGAAAGGTGGTCTGGTGGATGTGGAGGAGAATTGGGGACAATGAGGCAGGAGGCCAACTTGGGGGGGCTGCCCAAGTTGAGGGGGATATATTAGGGGGCTGAGCCAGGCCCATGCAGTGGGTTTGGTAGCAGAAATATTCATGTGATGAGTATTCAGATTCGCTGTAGATGTGGGTATTGATGGAGGAGTCAAGGTGACTCCCCAATAATTGTGATACCATCACAGGAATAAAACAACTCCTCATGCCTCACAGCTCCCCCAAAATGTGGTCCAGTTCCTCCACGAGAAGCATCCACTCTCAACCATCCTCTGAGAGTTTCCAGACCATAGAGAGAGGCCAGATCATTTTAGATAAACCACGGGGACTTGGACCGGGACATCCCACCTTGTGGCTCCCCACTCCCCACAGGCCCCCAGGAAGACCAGTAGCCCACAAGGTGGCTGCCCATGCTCACTGCCCCCTGCCCAGGGTGCACAGCTCTGTCCTGTGGAGGTCCACGGAGGCTGGATCTGCGAGCCGCTGGCTCAGTCTCTGTGGTTCTCATCTGCGGGGCTCCAGAGAGCCCCCAGAAAGCATCTCAGAGAAGGCTTGGCAGAGGTGACTTATGGGCACGTGGCAACCTCTGGGGTGAAAACATCCAGGCTCCCTTTCCCAGAGGTAATATCATTGAGCTAATGCATATGCAAAAGGCACAGCTAACTTCTCCCTAATGTTTACAGGTGTTTTTACGTGTGATATAGCATGAATGGCTTTGCGAGGGCCACCAGGACCCCCTGGATGCTGGTTCAGAAGACACACTCAGCTGGGGAGGGGGGATTTCAAGCAGCTTGATGTTGTGTCAGTCAGTCAAGTACAGTAGGAAGAGGTCTAAGCAGCCAGCCAGAGACTCGAATTCCCGGCCCTCATCTCCTGACTGGGTGACCTTGGACAAAGTACTTGACCACTCTGAGCCTCAGTTGGCTCATCTGTAAAATGGGGATAATATGCCTTCACAGGACAAGGGGTAAGGTTAAATGAGGTGACAGATACAAAGCCCCCAGGAGGAGTGATTAGCGCTATTCTTCACACTTCTGCTGCTGAGAGAGGGCCCGGCTGCCCAGCGCAAGGGGCAGGCCAAGCCCACTGCCCATGATGTCGCTCTGCTCCGCTGGCTGCGCATCAAAATCACCTGGGAGATTTCCCCTCCTCCGCCTGCCCGGGGGCTGCTTTATTTGACTGAGTGGGGCCTGTGCTGCTCTATTTTTAATAAAGCTCCTCAGTCGATCTGAAAGTGCAGCTAAGGTTTAGAGTGTATATCCCACCAGATAGGAAATTCTAAGCCTTGTCTGTGGGAGGAAGGGGGTCTCAGGTTCGCAGCCTCCCTCCCCCCTGGGGGCTGCCTCCAGGCCAGAGCCTGGGCCCGCGGGGACACGCAGGCCTGCTCAGATGTGGGGCTGCCTGGCACCCTGACCTCGTCCACGGGGACGGCTGCAGGCAGGCTCCCAGAGCGCCCACTTGTCTTCGCTTGCTCTATTTCCATCACTAGGGACAGATGGCAGGAAGTGGCTGTGGGCGTTGTGT